AATCATTGTATACCAAGCATTGTTCATAACACATGTAAGCACTCTAAAACACAAGCATCAATCAAGATGCAACAGACAATACTAATTTGGTGGACTTCTTGGATATTTTAGGGGGGGAAACTTCAACATACTATTCAAATTAGTATTGTGTATCAAGTTCAGCAAGTGGTCAGATAGCACTGGAAGACATTTCTAACAATCATATTATTAGCCCAAGTATCATGTGATAGATCAAATAGCATCATAATAACTATAAATCTTGCTGAAGCACAAGAAAGAAATATAACTACAAAGGTTTGAAGTAGATATAGACATTTGCTAACTTGAAAGAAGTTAAAGTCCATGCAATCAAAGGGCACATTAGAATTAAAAAAACAGAAGAGCCATCAGTGCAAAAACAAATAAAGACAAGTTTGTAGAAAAAAATACCTTTGCGAGTGTGGAAACCAGTGGGCTTGCAATTCTTTCCCTTGTAATAACCTTTAGGACTCCTTTTTGATGTGAGAATATCAAGTGAAGACGTACGTTTTCTCCTAAACGCCCTCCCTATTCCCATTATCAATCCTAGCGGCATTTTACTGGCTCAAATTTGACCGGCGATTAGAAAAGCCGGCGTAAATGAAAAGTCAAAACGGGAATATAATCACGAGAGAGGCAATTGGACACTGAGTACTCGAAGAATTTTCTGGGATTGAAAGACCAAACCTTGAATGTGTTTTTTTCTTTTTTGAATAATAAGAGATTGAAAGACCTAAAATTAATTCATTCACCTGCGGCTGCATAATTATTTGCACCAGATTTTAATTTATTTGCTCCACTATATTCTAATATTAGTTAAAGGTCCTCAATCTTTATTCACTATAACAATTATATCCTCAACTTTTTTCTTTTGCCCCTCCATTAATTTAACACATTTCATCCTTGATAACGTTTTCGTTCAAACGGTCCGTTTGAAAGGTGTGAAATGATTTATTTGCTCATTATATTTTTGAAAAATATAAATAAAAAATGTAATAAAATACTTTTACCTCATTTCGAAGTGTGGAAATAGAATGTTTTTACAAAAACCATCAAATAAGAGGAGATGTCATAAGTTCTAAAATGAGCATACTGAGAACATTAAATGCAATTAAATCATGATGCAATAAATAAAATTGTGGTATGAATATAAGGCATCATTGACTTACTTTTCAATTTAAGCGATTTCATAACCAAAAAGAAAGATATCTTTTTCGGGATATATCTCATCCCTAGATATAGTCATTGTTTGACACCCATTTTGTAGAAAAATTTGATTTGGAACAATGATTGATTGTAGAATGTGTGGTTTCAGGGCCCCGTAGAATTAGTCGATGTGCGCACAAGTTGGCCCAAACATCCATAGTTATCAAAAAAAATGAAGGATAATTTTTGGGTTTATGTGCAATATTATTTTATTGATAGAATGTGTGGTTAAAATAAAGAATAAGAAAAAAAAAGAGAAAAAAATGAATATCAAACAAGGGCACAGTAGTTAATCAACGAAATATTGTAAAAAAAATATTTACATACTAACTAATCATGTTTGGCCTTGGATGCTTTATGAGGGCTGAGCCAGTAACATAATGCCCCTGTTTGACATAGTTAAAAAATATATTTTTAGTAGATTTTAATAAAAGTTGTGCAATTTTATGAAATGTGTGACTAAAATTAATTGATTACTTTAATTTATTTTTTTATCAACTTTTTAAGCTACAAAATAAGGAATAAATTAGAACTTTAGCTTATTTTTATACTTATTATTTTCAACTTATTACTTTAGTTTTGGGAGTCGTTATTTACATCCACTATTATTATATATCTATCGATGTTAAGATATAAAAAAATTTAAAAAATAATATTTTCATCCATCACAATTCAATATTGTCCTTAGTAAATTCGTTCATTTAAAAATTATACATCGATCTCATCATAATTCCTTCAATCCTTTTCATATATCTATCCACATCATTTTTATGTATCTATACATCCACACCATTTTTATATATCTATTCCATCATTATTCTTGCGTAATCTTTTCATTTTTTCAATAATTGACATCAATATGCACTATTATCAAAAAAATATTACTTGTTTTGATAATCTCAGTAGAATAGTTACCATTGTTTTGAATTCAAGAAAATCAAGGGAAAAAAGGTAATCCAAACAAAAGACTCGAATCTTGTTTTGATAATCCTAACAGAAAATAGAGCCATTAATGTTTTCAATTCAAGAAAAGAAAATATAATCTCGACATAAAATTTAAATAAATTGGAATGGAATTTATGAATTCAAAGACACATTATCAACTAACTCAAATACAAATCAAGAATCATTCACATACTAGATTTATCAAACCTACAATGTTGTAGTAATCCTTACCTTTTCAAATTCTTCTTTATATATTTTTATGTCTATATGTATTTGCTCTAATGATATCTTTTTTATTGTTATTTTTAATTTAGTTGAAATTGATATTTTATGAAGATCAGGGTTATATAAAAAGATCCAAAAGAATTTATGTGCGACTGATTGTAATCATGAAATTTGTATTGAAAGAAAATAAGTGACTTTTCTAGAGCTTATTTACATGAAAATTATTAATTAAGTTTATTTAATTTTCAACATAGAAAATGTTATACTTATCTATCTTTTATTGATGGGTAAATGTGAGAGGAGGGTAGATAGAAAGAAAGAGAGTGAGTGAATTGCCTAGAAATTAAAAACTTATCATCCCTAAGGAAAATGTTTTCTTTATTTTTCTGAAAAATATGATTATGTGACCAAACGTTGGAAAATATTTTCCATAAAAAAATGCCAATCATACATCTCAAAAGTAAGACTTTAGGTGGAAAATTAACATTTTTAATGGAAAATAAAGTCAATCATGAAATCATTGTTTAGATAAAAATGAGTTTTGAATAATGATTTTTTGGAGAATTTATAGTTAGGAAATACTAAATAATTTTATGTATACATGCAGAATATTTTATTGTGTGAATATGTAGTGAAAAATGAGTATTTAAAAAAATTGAAATAATGATTGTCAAACAGAGACAAGTTGGCTCAAAAGTGCTTTAGTGCAACGTGACTCTAGCAACAAAAATGCGAGCACATCACGTCATTAGAATTGATTTTGAGCCTACTTCTGACTTTTGAGGGAGTAAAAAGGATGAAATCCTTTGATAATTTTACTAGTCATGTCTAATTGTGTATGGCAACTCACTTATTAAAACGAACCATCAAAGTAAACAATAATGTTGTAGTTACTTTAATTATTAGCAATGGACCAACACATTATTATTTGAGGTATTAATTAAATCTTAATAACGAAAGCAATATTAGTTAAAATTCGATATTTTAGAGTTACTGTTGCCAACTTCCTAATCCAATGAAACGAACGTTTTAAAATAGGCAAAATATTTATTTGATAATAAAGTAGGAATTAGTTATCAAAATAAGTTATTTATTTCTAATTTTAGACGATAAAAATGATTTTAAAATTTAATAAATTGCTTGTAACTTGTAAGTAAAAAGAACCTTGCTACACCAACACCTCGATTGACATCTTGGATGACTGAGCACGCACACCTCGGGGGTCGAAAGTTATTTTATTCATGTGAGACCCACGCGCAATGTGAGGGTCGATCATCCAATGTGTCAACCATTTTCGATTAAGGTGGCTTTACTCAAGTAAAAAATTTTGAACTTAGCAAAACATGCACACGCATCCTTATACTTTGTTTTGCTTTATTTATTTATATTTCAAAATAATCCTCAATAAAAAAGAATTTAGAAATCAATAGTTAAACCCAAAAAGAGTCAAACTGAATAAACTAACTGTTGTTCTCCCTGTATATACATGCAGCATTTATATATAGAGCGGTGGTGGTTGGAATTAGTGAGCCTGAATTTGAAAAATTCGAGGAGGAATTGAAATTCAGATTAGGATTTTTGTGGAAATTAAAAAAATGCCGATGATTAGATACGAGATAAGAAATGAGCATAATTTGGCTGATCCGGAGGTGTACAGAGCTGCTGATAAGGATGATCCAGAGGCTTTGCTGGAAGGCGTCGCCATGGTTGGCCTCGTCGGGGTCCTTCGCCAGCTCGGCGACCTCGCTGAGTGAGTTTTGGTTTTTGAATGATTGGGACTTGGTATGATTGTGATTTTTTTTGTTGGAGTCTGTGGAGGTTTTTGACATAATGTGATGAATTGGGGGTTTATTATTAATAAATATTTTGGAATCAAATTTATTTGAAGTTTAATTTTTGGTTTGTGATTATGTTAATTTCTGAATTTTGGAAGAATGAAGTTTGAATGGCTTATCTGTGCTTTATGAGGGTGGATTATAAACTTAAATGGTTTTTGTGCACTCTGTAGGATTTCAAGAATTATTGGATTGTTTTTCAGTTACACATAAATGAAAACAAATGCCCATTTAGTGCACAATGAAACGTGTCTAATGAACTCGAGGAATTCAACTGACCCGTTTTTACCCAAATGTAGGTTGTTGTATATGTAGGCACCTTTATCTAGAGTTGAGTATGTGCAAATTTAACTCGTTTTTGGTGTCATTTTACGGTATTGTTTGATACATTTAGTGATTGCAGTGCATTATTATGATGCATCTGTTTTGTAAGTTAGTGCAGGTTGGTTGGCATGGATTTCTTCATGATTTTGCCTTTTTTCACATTATTTCATAATAGCATCAAATGTATTTTTGGTTTTGAAGGTCTGTCGTAGGCAATTGGTTAGAACAGATATTGTTCTTCATTTTCCAATAAAGGCCTATGTATATACTTATCATCCAACTTCTGGCATGATTTGTACAGAGATCTTTTAGTTCTTAAAGAAGCAAAAACTGATCTTTTTCGAGGGATTAACTTCTGTGTCCTCAGGATTGATGCAAGAAATGAATTACCTGCTTAAACGATTCCACCAGTCAACCCTCTTATCTTGTATTTAATTTTTGTTTCTGATGTAGAAAAATTATACTACCCCGGGGTAGATAATTTTGCAGTCTGATTGAGTTAAATTTAATTTTACAATCAGTAAAAATTGCCTCATAATTGCTTCTCTTTTAAATTTTGAAGGTTTGCTGCTGCGATTTTTCATGATTTGCATGAAGAAGTAATGGCAACTGCTTCCAGAGGACACATCTTAATGATCCGTGTCGAGCAGCTTGAGGCCGAGATTCCTTCGATCGAGAAGTTATTTTTCTTCCAGACAGATCATTCTTCATTACTTTACAATGGGGGTTGGATATTTCTCTTCCTTCATTTTACTGTTGAGTGTTGACTGTCTCCATATATCAATCTCTCTCACATTGTTATGGTTGAGCAATACTTTACGTGGTGATACTTCATTTTGTTCTTGTAGCTAGTGAAAATTATTATTTTTGATAGTTATAAAAAACCAGAACAGCAATTATCATCAATTTGATGAGCCAACATAATATTTTACTTAGATAGACTTATTGCTGCCTACTTGTTCATCTCCAATTTTAAGGGTTTTCATTCTATAAGGAATCTGTCTAGATCTTCTTTCGAGCTACATGTGTTGGTTCTAAGATGCCTAAGTGTCTCAGTAGGTCCATGGTAAAGTAAATGAGACCTTGTGTTGCAGGTGTTGATTTGCATCCTAATTTACAAATGGATCAGAATCTAATCACGCAGGGAGATTTACCTCGATTTATTATGGACTCCTATGAGGAATGCAGGGGTCCCCCTCGCTTATTCCTTCTAGACAAGTATGATTTTTTGTTTACTTTATGTTGAAGTGTCTAACAGTGTTTACCCTAAAAGTAAAATCTCACAAACACAAGGTAATCAGATTTTTGTTAAGAGCTCAAAATAGCATACCTTCACTGGCTTACAGGTTTGATGTTGCGGGTTCTGGGGCATGTTTAAAACGCTACACAGATCCTTCATTCTTTGGAGTAGAAACTTCATCAGGAATGACAAAGGCATATGTTCAGAGGGAAAAGAGGACACACAAAGCTAACGTAATTCATTATCTAATACTTGCAACTTTTATCAGTACTTGGGTCTTTGACATCTCTTTGCATGTATCTTTTCCCATTATAATATTTGTACATTCACATTGCTATTACCCAATAAACTGTAGAATCCATGAGTACCATTTTTAATTTTACGTGTAATTCTTTTCTTCTGGCTAAAATAAGTATGCTATTTGATTTCGAAGTTTTTTTTTTCTCTGAAAATGCATTTTTTGTCTTTTCTATATATATATATATATATGTAAGTCATATTCATGTGGCTTACGTCTTTGACACCTGAATTGTGTCATTATTACACAATTTAGTCTTAATTGAGAAATTTGATTCATAAGGAACCTATCTATTCAAATTTGGAACCATCGAGTGCACATGCAATATGGTAGTAGAGAAATCTATTCTCTCTCTTCCTCTCACTCTCTAAAATAGTGAAGTACAGTTTCTTAATTCTTTTAAATTTGTGGTAACAGTAGAAACCTTTTACGCCCTTCCAGTTCTTTCCTTTTCTTGATTTGGGAGTTCTAAATTGTCCAGAAGGGATATACACTTTAAAAAACTGCATAGGTTGTCCAATTATTATTTCATGTATTATAAAAAATTGTTATTGTGTGTCTAGCAGAGGAAAGAGCTAAACGGGAGGAATGGAGAAACCTCTGAAGTTGTACCAACATCACATGCCAAGTAAGATATCTAATATTCTTCTTTTGCCATGGATTTCTCTTTTCAGTTGGATATAGTGCACAATATGAGATGTTGCTGGTTTGTATCTTTACTTTTACAGACTCCATCAATTGTTTCTCAAAGAGTCTGTTACAAATAGCATTAGCAATCCTGCACGCCATGTGAAACTGAAAAGGAGGCTGAATGGAGTTCCATTTGATTCAAAAAATGGAAAGCACTACATGGAGAAATTATTGAGGAATCCTTCCCCAGAGCATAATGTGGTTCATGAAGTCTCCGTGAGGTCATCTCTCTTGAAATTGCCAACACACGATCATAATGAATCTGGGGTTGAAGTGCTTGAAGTTGTTCCCTTGAGTCCTAACATGGGGAGAAAAAGTAGTCCGTCATCTCCGAACACAGAGAAAATTTTGCTGAAACCATCCGTATATGAGTCAATTGAAGTTTCCACAGATGATAGTCTCATTCAGGTGTCCAAATCAATTACTAGTTTTGAAGCAGTTGACATCTCATGTGCTTTTGACCTCGTGACAAGTGAAGAGGATATAACAGTTGATGGAGAAAGCAAAGAAGAAGGCAGCTTAAATGGTTACCACTCGGATGATGTTTCCACTGAAATAGACTATTATGTGGATGCACCTTCGACCATCGAGTCAGATGTGTATACAGACTCTGAATGGAGAGGCAAGAGTGACTTCACCTCCTCTAATACGAAGAAACAGCTGTATATTTCCAATACAGATGATGAGTATCTTCAAACTCATTCTTCAGATTCTCAATCAATTGGACACTCCAGTATATTAGATGAGGGGAACAACTCATACAAAAAAGAAACATCTAATTTTTCCTCTGATTCTCCAAGAACTTCTACTGAAAACACACTGTTAGAAGATCTTGATTCTGTTGAAGTTTTTTCACCAGCTGATATCACTGAAATTGTGTTTAATGGTATGCCGTCTTACCAGAAACCTGCAAATGAAAATATTTCAGTGCCTGAACATTCAAAACCAGCTGTTTCTGATGAAGCTGAAATCACCAGTCACAGGCCTGACTTTGGGGAGCTAAGTTCTTGTTCATGTCCTATCATTCCATCTCCCACAGATTGTGATGCAGAAGCATTTGCGGGAGAAGGTAGGTTTATGGGACCTAATTCAGATGAGATTCCCTCTAATGAAAGTGCTAATAAATCTATAGATACCGAAGAAAATTGGACAAAGCTGGTCAACAATCTGCCCTTTTCTCCCAGTGTCTATGATGTTACTTTGTCAACGCGAGATTATTTCTCTAGTTCATCTGCTGGAAATCATCTAGTGGATGAGTCAAATGTTGGGAATCTAGTTATGGGCGAGAGTGTATCGTGTATATATACAGTCTCTGATGTTCCAAGTCATACAAGAGATAACTCCGTTGAAATGTCTGAATTCCTGCTCAAGGATGCTTCAGATAAGGATATTGAGAATCTATCCATAGACATAGATTCCACGTTTAATATCAGCAATATTATTTCTCATAGCAAAGTAAATAATCCACAAATGATGTTTTCCGACATTCCAGTTCCAAATGAACTAGATTTTGAGGTTCCAAAGTTGCCTGAGAACTGTATGTCTGATCATCTTGATAGTCCTCAAAAGGAAGACAGTTCAATACCTATTTTGTTTGAACAAAAACAGCTATATTATGAGTTGAATAATGAGGATCAAAATTTGGTTTATGATGCTTCCAATCATTTTTCATGCATCGTGGATCCAACTCCTGGGAAAGAAATTGAGGAAACACCATTGGGCAGTATGTTGCAAACTGTTGGTGCAGATCATTACTCCAAAAACTCAGTTGACCATCAGGTTAACTCCCCAAATATGATTTCATCAAATATAAAAGAACACTTTCTTGATCACCCCCGGGCAGGTCTTCACTCTCATAATACAGATGATGACGCTATTTTTACCAAAGAGATGGCACTAAGTGGAACTTCTATAGTTGGATGCCCCAAGTCATCTGACATTGGGAGGTCTCAGGGCACAGGAATATTAGACGTTTATTCCTCTATTGATTCAGCAGAAGTGGAAAGTTCATGTTGTATTCAGGATAATATTGAAAAGCCCACAATAAGATCAGATAGTGTAGAAATGGATGGAATCACCTGCTGCATGGACTCAACTGGAAACAAAGAAACTGATATTATATCGCCAAATGATGTTCATGTACGGTTTGTTGAGATAGATCCTGAGACAAATCAATATGATGCTGTGGATGTGGCTACAGTTGTTACTGGCTCTGCTGTTAATGCTGATGAAAATGATGTCTTATCTGTGGGTCACATGTTGAAAGAAGGATGTATTCCTTTCTATGGGGATTTGAGTCATGATGACTTCAGAACTGATGAAAATTGGCACCCATACAGTCACGGGGAATCAATTTTAGTAGAAGAAGAAGAAGTGGATCAACTAGAAGTTGCTACATCACATTTGGACTCAGTAGATACTGTTCCTAATTCCTGTATGCCATTAGAAGTTGAAAACAGTTTGAATCTTGTTAATACTACCATAATTAAGTTATCTCTGGAGAAAAGAGGCTTGTACACAGAACAGGAATCTGAGCAGAAAAGTAGTCTTCCAAGTCGTACTGAAGATGCTTCCTATTTGCCTATCAATCCCCAAACAGAAGAAACAATTTTACAAGAAACAATCGGGTTATTACCTAACACACTAGATCCGGAGTTCCCAGAGGCTGGTGAAACAGATTTAGAATTGTTACCTACTTCGAAAAGTATGCAAAAGTTTGATCACAATGATCATCAAGGATGCAACAATTCTACTTACACGTTTTCAGATCTCCCCCGACAAGGCAACTATGAGAATGATTTCTTTGGACATCCCAAGAATCTATCAAGTTCCATATTTCCTCTGATTAACCTTCATTCAGAGACAATTCAGATAAATCTAGAAGAATCGCCTCCATTGCCACCCCTCCCTCCACTTCAATGGAGGATCGGGAAGCTTATAAATACTTATCGTGCTACAGAGAAAGAGACAGAGCAACATAATGTTAGTTCCTTGTCTTCTGTATTGCCAATGGGAGCTGACGAGAAGGCTCAATCGTTCATACCAAATTTACCACTCTCTGCTGTAATTAAAAAGGATTCACCTTCTGTTGATGATGAAATGACACAGGACTGTTTCCTTGCTGGAGAGGGAAAAATAATGCTGCCTGCTTTGAAATCTAGCTCAAGTGGAATTTCTTTAGATTCACCTTCTGCTGATGATGTTGGTTCTTCCTTTGAAGAACTGAACCAATCTCCGCATCAAGTTGCTGCAGAAATCACATCAAAAGAAGACAAGGCCGAGTACAACTCTTCTAGCTTGCAGTCCAACATCATGAAGCATGAGACAGTTGAACTTCTGCCAATGAAAGATAATGGCATTGAAAATGGGAGTCGAACAACAAAACTACCCCGACCTCGAAACCCTCTAATTGATGCCGTTGTGGCTCATGATAAGAGCAAAGTAAGTATTCTATGGTCTATTTCCTTACCAAAAGGCACATTGAGTTCAGTGTATTGCATGCATGCTTGCTTGTAACTCTTCAGATTATTTTGCAGTTGAGGAAAGTGACAGAACGAGTTAGGCCTCAAATGCAATCGGTAGATGAAAAAGGTTCATTCTTGGAACAAATAAGGACCAAGGTAAAACTATACCGACCTGAAGTTCGTTATTTACACTACCATTTTGAGCAAATAACAGAATATTGTTTTTGTTTGGTCAGTCCTTTAACCTGAAACCTGCAGTCATGGCAAAACCTAGCATTCAGGGTCCTAACACCAATCTTAAAGTTGCTGCTCTTTTGGAAAAAGCAAAAACAATCCGCCAGGTTTTGCTCTCTCTCTCTCTCTGAGAACGTGCATTCATGTTTTTGTTTGTGTTAAATGCGTTCGAGATTATTAATGGAAATGGTGAATATCATAGGCCCTTGCTGGTAGCGATGAAGATGACGAGGATAGTTGGAGTGATTCATGATAAATTTCCAAAGGCTATATTTCCTAAAGCATATAATGGTAGTGTCTTTTCAAAAGCTTTGAGCTGCAGCCTATTCTTATCGCGGGATAAAATGGAAAGTAAAAATGGAAAGGGAACATCGCTGTGCCTTTTCCGACCATGATTCTGAGACTTGTGTTATATTACTAGTTTGACACACGTGTGATGCACGTGCCGTTGGTGAAGTTGGGTATTAAATAGTGTGTTGTTTAAGGAAAAAAATAAAAAAAAAATGAGTAAG